AGTACTTTCTCCAGTTGTACTTGTGCAGTTGATTAATGCTATACAGAGGTCCTATTCAAGTTATACACACTTGAAACTGTTTTGTCGTAGGAGTGATTTAATGCATGAAAATCTGAGGACTTCATTTTACTGATTACTATAGAGAGGATCAGACTCAGCTTTCAATATGTAGAATGTAGTTGAAAAGCTATGATATTAAGCATGGTGTCCAACTTTTGCCTTATGGTACAGGAAATGGCCACACTGCATTTGACCACCTAATCCTGCTATTGCTGAGAAAAAAAAATCCATTCTCTCTTTGCGTTCTCATTGTTTTAGATGGAATTGAACACTGCAGTCACATTACTGGAATAATAAAAGAATATTACAATAAAAAAATTTACCTTTTTAGACAAAAGTTAGGAAATTCAGAAAATACGTATAGTATGGCAGTGAAGTTTCTAGAATTAACTGGCTCTAATTAAGAAAATTATTTCAATTGAAGTAATGACCAACTACCAGACACAGGTTTAGGGACAAAATAAACATCTTGCTATAGTCAGGTGGGATGCATATGTACTTGTACCTTTAGGTTGAGAGAACTGTAATTGAAAGTTAACAGAAAAAAAATGGGGGTTAGTTTAGAGATCCTGTTTCAACAAAATCTCTCCCTGGGCCATTTAAACCAGATGTATGTCAGAAATACCAAGCTATATAATAAAGAACTACAGTTGCTCATTTTTGTTTTCCGTGGAGTAAATGTGCATTTATCTTTTGTGTGAATGAAAAGTGTCATTTTCACAACTGATACCTTTTTCTTATGCAAATGTTTTTTTTAACCATAGGACTATGCAACTAAGAGTGCTGCACAGTACCAGTAGACTAATGAAACTGCATATTTGAAGAAAAAAAAATATTCAAAAACCCTCATTTAACACCATGTGTTATATCACAAAAGCAATGCCATAACACAGATATCTTCAGTCCTGGGCTGCTGGAGAACCATAGTGTTCAGGTTTGCATTGGATTCAAACTGCCATTGACTTTATTGAATCAAATATTGGCAGTCATTCATGACTGAAGGCACCTATAAGACCTCAAGGACTGGTGCTCTCCAGAATAAGAGAATAAAAACACTTCTATAACAGCATAATGTAGAGGAATGGCCAGCCTGGCACAGTATGTACTAGTCTAGATTGCCCTGAGTTACAGTATGTCTTTGTCTATTGTGTGCAGGGGTATGGATTTTGTTTTGCAATTGCAACACAAGTGGTTTAATTTAAAAACAAGTGATACTAAAATGTAAACAATTTAAGCATGCTTTTAGTCAAATGCATAACACTTGTAAAAGTCCAAACAATCTTATTTTCTTAGGTGTGATGATACCGCAGTACTTGCATCTGAGTTAAAATAATATGCAGCACATAGAGTACAGCACATCTGCTAGACTGTCTTCAAAAGCACCTTTTGAATCTGGAGACTGCATTCCTGTGGTTAACTTCTGCCAGTAGCATAATTAACCTAATTAAATTTTACAATTGCCCTCAACTATTGCCTTCCACCTCAAGACATCCCTGTGAATAAAACCATTATTTTTGACACAGTACAGTTAGGCAACAGCGAGTGAAAGCAGTCTGGATTAATTTCCAAGCTATTAGATCCAATAATTCCTCATACTTTGGCAGCTGTGTGTCATGACACAGCCCATGGGAAAAGTCATGTAACTTAAATGCCAGTGTATCCTTTTGTTGTCTGGGTTGAATGTGAGTGAAAAAAAAAACTGGCAGAAATATCCCCTTGTGACAGTTTTCCACAGAACAATGCAAACTTATAAATAACTTTCAGCTTTAACACTCTCAATTCATGGCTTTTACATACAGTATACACTTTCTCAGAGTTGAATACAAAAAGTGTTTTAAGATATGTAGCTCATAAATCAGATCCTTTATTTTGCAAAGAGAAATATTACTCAAAGGTTAAAATCTGAACTGAAAGTTGTATTATTCATACTCTTCAAGTAGTAGTAGTGAACACTTCACTGTCTCTGGATGAGTACTTCAGGAGGATTCAGCAAAATTCTGAATATCATCCCAGAATCATGTGATTTTTTCCCCAAGGAATGCAAAGTTGATGGGGGACTGCTGGCTAAGCTTCCCTGGAAAACAAGAAATTGTGAGGCATAGTCATTTCTGAAACTTAATTGAATTTAATTTCATAGCTTGTGTGTTAAATCTGGAAGCAGGATTAGTTTGTTTTTCGATGCAGGCTGTCTAGCTCCTACTGTACAGTAATAACCCTCAGGATTTCGCCCTTTTCCTGTTTGTCACGAATGACCCGCTAAGCAAATGGGAAGATGAACCCTACGCGGTACCTTAGGGGGTCTAGAGATGAGGAGGTAGTTTCCTGAAGGAATGAGGGCTAGACAAGAGACAGGATCCAAGTCAAGTTCCGAGGTTCATAACTACAGGTCAGCGAGTTCCAATCCAGGAGAGGATTAGGCAGAGGCGTAGTCAAAAGCCAAGATCCGTGTTTCAAAAGGTTTAGGTCAACGAGAAGACTTCCAATCCAGAGAAGGGCAAGACAGTAGACGTGGTCAAAGGGGAAGTTCCGAGGTTCATACCAAGAACAGAGACGATTCCAAGAACAAAGGCAAGATAGGCGCTCCAAAGAACAACCAATACCAGGCGAAGAGCAGAGGGTTCTGGAGGGCTTATTCAGTGTGCGAGGGAGAAGGTGTACTGATTGATGGAGTGTCGTGGTTGGCTGATTGGCAGGAGCGGTGTTGGTTGGCAGAAGTGCTCGATGCTGGAGTGTAATTAGCGCGAGTGCGCTTCTGTGTGAGAATGTTGTAGGGGAAGGGCGTGACACTGTTAGTACCTCCCAAGTTTTCATCCTCAACTGGACAGTCCAGTTTGTGACCTGTGTGTCTGGAAGAAATGTTTTAAATTTCACCACTCTCCAGGACTTCAGAAGAGGGACCCTTAAACTCAGCAATATGTCATGACCTGGTAAAGACCAAAGATATGTGAAATAACCACCGCAGGAAGCTATCCCCAAGAAGAAACCCCAAACCTTCACCTGCAACAACATGCAGAGATGCATTATGTATTTCTCAGAAGGTGACAAGTCTTGTGGTGGATTTGCCCAAAATTATATTTTAGACATCCCAGTTTGCTTGGAATGACACCTACATCTATATGTGAGAATGGTTGTAAAACTCAAGGGCCGGTTGGCAGTGAAATCCTATTCCAATTTCGAAATAATGGCAACATTTTTTTGCCTTCATTGTAATTATTTTGAAGAAGCAAAATGGGCAGATCAGGCAACAGGTTCTAGTCTGATATTGTAGTGTGCAACACTAATTACCCATTTGACTAGAGTACAAATCTAAACCACTGTCAGCTTAGAGGCTAGAGCCAAATGATAGCTAAATTTAAACTTGAACTCTGACAAAATCATTTAGACATCACTTGTCTTGACAGGTCTTCATTATAAATCCTTTTTAGTTTGTGGGAATGAAGTTGACCTGACTGACATTATTACACCATGTTTGACTGTGCTGCAAAAATGTGTTAAAGTTTCCTGAAACCATTTTTCTGCAATTCTGCATTTCACTGGACTCACAATTGACTTATGGAGGGAAGCTGTTGTGCTGTTGTGTTCTATCAGTGAAGCCACAATCCTTTTGGGATTTTGAGAAACATTTTTGTACTGCTCATAAAAAATTCAAAAGCTATTATTTTTATAAAATGCTTCTGTGATTTTAATTCAGGTCAAGCGAGTCAAAATCTCTGTATTTTTGGTCTTGAAATATTAACTCATTTGGTTGAAAGAGAAAGGGCACATAACCAGACAAGCACTATGGTATTATAACAAGTCTAGCATGATCTCCAGTCTCCTCTGTAGATGCTGTTACTGTATGCCACTGAATATTTATTTGTGCATATACAGCATTACATAACATTTGCAAAACGTATGGAAGAACAGAGATTAGGAAACCCTGTAAACAATTTAGCAGACTACTCTATATCTGAAATACCAATAATTATAGTAATTTAGCTAACACTGTAGAGGTCTTGTTTTCACTGGTTTAAAATTAGTCTCGCCACCCTTCAAAAGGGGGAAAACGTAGTTTGAAAACACTGGTGAGCATATTGCACTCTGAGACTGCATTCCTTTCTGAGTTGTCTTGGGTATAGCCTGCTCCATGTGCTGCGTCAGTTGGGTTTTTTAAAAAAAAAACTTTTAACCCCTTTTTGATGAGCAGGAAAATTACAGCTGTGCTGAGAATTTTAATACTAAGCTCTCCAGTGTAATCCTATTGGACAAAGAGAAACCCTTCAGGAGACAGACCAAAACAGTAATACATTTATGCTATGATTTTGCATTGGGGACGTTTCTGTTAATAAAATGCAAAAGTGTACATACGGAATTAAGACTGTTGTATTATCATAGACATAACACATGTGAGATGTGGGATATGGGCGAATTATTATCAACGTCCTGTAAGGTATAAAGTGAAGAAAAAAGACATTCTTTCGCCCCCTTTAGAACAGATATATTTGAGCAAAAGTGACTGATAATTAGAAATGTCATTTTTTGATAATTTCTCTATTTGTCATTCACATCCATATTAAATATCAGGAATACAAACAGGTTATTGAAAAATAGTTACATACTGATCCGTTGCGTTCATGTTGTTTAACAAGAATCATGGTGGTGAATGTTAACAAATTTAATGACACAGTTTAAGCAAATCTATTGTAGGCACTGTATTTACATACAGTACACAGTATATATCATTGCACACCTTACGTAAGGTTTGCAATTAAAATATGACAGATTTTGTAACCTCTGCTTTGTGTGGTTGTTTTTTTTACAAAATGGCAAAAAGCTACAGTAACTTTCGGTGTTTTGATAATCCTTCACGTGCCTTAGTCCTGTAAACTGAAAGTGCGCTAATGCAGCAGAAGGTACCCCCCTAAAGCACCCCTATCTTACTAGGAAAAAAAGGGCAAGCATGGGTTTGTCAGAGTTGATTGCTTGTGTTTTCAAGTACTGGATGAATGCATGACCTCTTGAATAACGTTTTCAAGACAGGATTTAATATTTTTGCGCATTTTAGAGGGGACTGCAGTGCAATCTAGATTTTAATTTGCTTTCGGAATGAAACGTTTCCCTTTCGCAATGCGTGGGTTAAGAAACTGAAGAAGTCCTTCCGAAGCGCAATTCCACAGAGTATCGTGACATTCATTCCTCTCAAACATATATTGTGTGATTTCCAGCACATCAGCCGAGTTAAACATTGTAAGTACCTTACATATTACTATATATCTGTTAGAAATGTTTTCGTTTCCACATCTTTGTGGTTTTGATTGGGCTTTGTGCAGCATCGTTTAAAAAAATATATGAACAAAAGTAAAGCTAGGTTTCTTGTATACGGTATATTTTTTTGCTCCTACAGTGTGCTGTGTTTCTTATTGTAATATCTTTGTAGCATCGGTTACAGCCTTATTGTTATATTTTATTTTTAGTCATTGTTGATTTTGCTGCTTTGTCAATATTGAAGGCACAGTCACATCTGTTATATTAACAGACCGTTACAACTTCCATTGCTTTTTCAAGTTTTTTTTTCCCCCGTCAGACTTGCTTTTATGAGAATGCAGCTTTTTGTATAAATCTGAATACAAAACTTGGATAGGTCAACTATAAAGACCAAAAACAATGTTTACTAAAGATTTGCTACAAATGTTGTAACCAGTGTGTTGTAAGTAACTGAATAAGATTATTCTCACACCGTCCGTGATATTGGAACTTTCCAAAGAGGGGAAAAAGAGGCAGCCCCTAACAGATGTAAGAAAAGCCTTATCATATTGCAAACTGTAGTTAATAATTTACATTCTGAATACCACTGGGAGTATAACATGAAGGTTAGACAATCATTACCAAAATAATCGGATGAAGATTATCTTTAAATCTTACGTGGTAATTTTCTCTGTTTTCCCTTGTAGGCTTTTTGTTTCGTGGCACAAAAAATCCTTAATGTTAGATACTGTACACTGGCATGGGATTGAGAAAACAAGATATTTTATCCCTTTGTGGACATTTACTGTAGTACATTAAAATGACAGGTGATATATGAGTTACGAAGTAGCAAACGGAAAAAAGTAGCAATCTTGCCGTCTAAAGATTACATGTAAGAGAAAATGTCGTCACTTCAGATTTCAAGGTTTTAATAAGGTGCAGTATTTATTACATTAATGTCTTTCTTGTATTAGTTTATAAATCGAACAATATTCTGTTAATTTGTACTGTATTGCAATACAGTAATAGTGACAACAACATTATTTATTACCAATGTGTGAAAGATATTTTAAAATGATATGTATTATGTTTTTATAAACAATCTTATAATGTGAGATATGGAGTGTTGATACCTCTGGATTATGTGTTCTAATCTGACACAATCATAAAAGTTATTTATAAACTGTAACAATACTTTTTAAATCAATTCACTTGGGAACTATTAGATATTTTTAAAAAGCCATTTGGATATTTTTAGGCATGGAGAATGCAGATTCGATGGTTAGTGATACTGTGCCTTTTAAATTACTGTATGACAGAAGACTTTTGCTTTAGTGTTCTGTAAACCTTTATTGTATCTTTAGCTCAAAATACAAACTCAAAATAAACAAGGAAATTCTCACTGCTCCTACTACACAAGAACTTAAATAATCGTGTTGTACATTTTTTTGTGTGTTTACATGTAATTGTTGTGTCTGAATTGTAGAGCTGAACTGTTCTAATTGTAGATATTAAGTGTCACTAACTAGCAGTGCTAATACTGTTTTTTTTACATTTGATAGCATTATCAGATCAAATAGATTTGTAATCTAGAAATTTGTGTTGTTTCCTGCTATAGTAATATAAAAATCCTTACTAAGCAATTGCATATTTCCATAGACTTTGCTGAAGTTCAGTAGTTTGCAGCTCTTACCCTTGACCTGAAATTCCAGTGTCCCTTCGAGCCAGATTGTTGTTCACTTATTTTTTCAGCCACTAAAGACAGTGAAATATTTGGCTAATTTGTAAACCAACATTAAATGTAAAATGCATTGTGATTCTTAAAGCAAAATTATAATTCTTAGGAGACCCTCTTTTATCATGATAAGTATTGTTACTCTGGTGTTCACAATAAGGTATTCACAAAATATATAAATATCTTGCTTAGATTTTAAAATCTTACAAGGAAGAAAGATATTTTAATACAGGGATTCATGATATAAAGGATCTGTCTGGGGTTTTGTTTAAAAAGAAGCTCTTTTAAATATTTTTACAACGTTTTTAGAAGAACATTCTGGTGTAGACCTACCTGTAGCTCAGTAAACAAATGTCCTTCTGTGTTTCTGTGTTCTGTAAACTCTTATATAAATAATATATACTGTTATTTTAAGTGAGGTATTTACTCCAGTTGCTCCATTCCAACCAGTAATGTAAGCGGGTCCAGCATTGTTGGGAGTTATTCTGTGATTAACCAGTGTCCCATTCAGGGGGGAGTCAAGTGCTGTTAGTCTAGTTCACTCAATGCTACAGATACCATGATGAGCTCTGTTCCAAGGAACTGCTGTGTCTTTGGTATGGACTATAAGTTTTAACTATTATTTTGAGAAAAACTATACAAGATTCACTTTATACTTGTTATTTTAATATTATTGAAGGGCTCTTCTATGGGAAACGTCTGTACCTCCATCATGAATATTTAAGCAATTAACTTTATTACACTGCATGTTGTTCTTTGGATATACAGTATGTAGTAAAACAGGGCACAAATAGAAATGCTTAGTCAGAGGCCCCCAGACATGTTTTTTCTAAAAGCTTTAACATAAATAATGGAATCTCAAACACAATTAGTAGGAAGATCTTCACTTACACTGTACACATAACCTTGTTATGGACATGTGTTTCTATTCTGTGGGCTGTTTTTCTGTCCAAATGATCAAATTTGAATCCTTGAGAGATTTACATAGCTCATTTAAAAACGTGCAATTATCGGATTATTTTTGGACTTATTTCTTAATATTGAATTGTTTTTCACAATTGTCCTTTATTGTTTTGGTGAAAACAGCTATTTGTACATATTACTGAAAGGTTGTCAGTCAGGTTATTTAAAGTATTACAGTAAACACCATACTATTTTTGTATATATTGTTATTATCTTAAAATTGTTAAATGGACTCAGATTTGTTGCATAATTAATCAGGATTCACCAAGCATACTCAGTCATGCTAAACATCCAGTCAGCACACTCCAGTATACAGTATTTTAATTGTACTTCATACTGGTTCTTGCATGTGCTATGGACTGGATCTGGCTGCTTTTAGAGGAGGCCTTTAAACCATTGAGTGATGGGAGTTGTCCTTTTACAGTTCAATTCGAAACTATCAATCCGTTGTCAGCTAATTAAATTAAACTGATTAAAATAATTTTCCAAGCAGGACCTTTCAATGTGGCATTAAACAGAGAATGAACCACTTAAAATAATATGATAACCTCTGCCTTGGTATTTTTGTTTGACAGAAGATAGTACGAAGTCTTTTCGGATTGGAGGGTTACAGTATCTAATGCAATTGCAAGATAGAAAGTGTGTTACAGTATGTCCAAAGTGCATTGTGCCAAAACAGATATACGTACAGCACAATCAATGTGATTGTTTTTGCACTACATTGGTGACTGAAAGGGTCTTCCTGTACAAATAGAGTTAGTACTGTTATCCTTTTGATAAAACTGATGCACCCATGCTTGTCATTATGTGGTGCTTTTTATGAGTGAATATTTTATTACAGTCACAAAAATGGGCAGTGAAACCAAATGTAAAACAAAGATCTGTGGTTACCTACAAAACGTAATATTTACATAATTGTCTCCAGCGGTTCACCGATTTTATTAACCACAACAGTTTTGTTAGTAGATAGGTTTATGAAAACCAAAGATTGAAATAGTTCATTTTAAAATGATTTCTTAATTGCCTTTATATTAACTATGTATTGATGTGAATCTCTTTCTAAGAGGACATATGTTAATAAGTTTTATTGAATAGTATGTAAAAGGTGATTTTAAAGTAGTATTGAAGAAAGAACAGCAAACCAACCAAACACAAGACAATCTACTATACGTGAGCAGCACAAGTTTAGCAATAGTTGCCTACTGTATGCCCTGGATTATGTTGACATTTTTAAATAGCACTGTTGCTTAGCATCAATTAGCACATCCCTTTAAGTACAACACTTGATTATAAAGTTACTAGTTGACCCAAAGGTTAGTCTTCCTAATTCTTCCTGTATGCTTAGCATCCCACATATCCGCACCACAGCTGTCTTGTCAACTGAGGGGTTATTCAGAATATTTATGTTTAGCAACTGTGACTAAATCTATTTGATCCCCTTTAAAGACAGGTAGTACACATTTTATAGCTAATCAAGGCATTTTAGATATGAACAGAAGTTTGTGTACTGTAAGATCGAGTACTCAAAGTTTTCTTTGTAATGTTTCAAAGTGTTTATATATCTACAAAAGGTAAAAAGGTCAAAGGTTCAAAATGTTAAAGCCACGTCCATAAATTACTAGAACAGCAAAAATGGCTAATAGCAAACTTTTGAATAGCAGAAGTTTATTCATAAATCATCACTTGTTTATAGGTATGTGAATATCGAAAAATACGAAAAATGAAAGGATATTCTAAAATCCTTACATTTGTCAATGTGATGCATATAAAGAGACGAGGTAATAAAACAAGAATCAAGATATTTATCTGCATTTAAATCAAAACAGAATTTGTATCCTAAAAATCATTATTCATTAAGACTTTATGGAAACCAATGGTGTACTTTCCCTTACGATAAAACATAGTGGGTTTTGATTACTTTATCATTTTTTTACTCTTCCATTTGCTACCCTTTTGAAAGTAAACCTGTATTCTGTATTTTTAAACTGATTTCAAGTTTTGAGTTCTAACTGTGAATTGCCACACTCAGGAAATAACTGAGTGATAATAGGTAAAACAAACAAAACAAAAGAATACCAAGCTTACACCAAGTACTCTCTATACTGAATTTTAATGTAACCCTTTAAAATGGAATACGCTTTTCTGAAATGCACTGAAATGTTTTCTCATAGAGCAAATAAATGTTAAAGAAGCACTTAGTTTAGGTCCAACAATATTGGAAATATATTTTGCCCTTTGAAAGGCTTCTGATTAGGTATGAAGCTTCCTCAATCCCCTAAAAAATGAGAAAGAAAGCATACTGTAC